ACAAGTGTTTGCACTTTCGTGCTGCCGCGGGCCGGCGGGTGCGGCGGGAGGGCATCTTTGAGCCCAGCCACGTTTACACTTTCAGCTTTACAAACACAAAGCTTCAAGCTCCACTTCGGCCATGACTCGCTTTTGCTCCTCCAAGCAGTGGTACAAGTGTTTGCACTTTCGTGCTGCCTCCACCCATCTCACCCATGTTACCCTGGGCTCAATGCCGGCTGGCGGCAGTAATCGTGAACCATAGAGACTCCGGGATCCGTTGAGAGACGAAGTCCTCGGCTTGCGCAAGCATCGCCGGAAAAGTAGAAGCCGCAAGTAGAACTCGATCTCTGGTCGCCTGGGGAAGTCTCGGCAGGAAAAGCACTGCCGAGACTTCTTGTATGTAAACTTCCATTACCTTGGAATTTATCCAACGACCTCTCCTCCTGACGAGCTCGCCGTCCTCGCTTGTTTGTAGAAGCCAAGTGGCTCCTCCTGCACGGAGGGAGCCAAGGTCCAAAGCCTTGAGGTTGGTGGTGTCGAGCTTGTCAAGGTGAAGAGCCGTCAGCAGTTTTGCGAAGCGGGACCTGAAAGTCGCGGGTGACAAGGGCCACAGTCTAAAAGCCGAGGCCTTGTTTCTGAAAGCCAGAGTCACCAAACGAACTAGCTGAGGCTGGTCCAGACGCAAAGCTTGGTGACGAGCTGCCGTGTTCCGAGTCTTTGGTTCTCTCACTGACAAAAGAATATAGCCGTCTAGTTCACCAACGTCGCATGGTAAAACCAAGTCACAGCGGCGGGCCGCGAAGATCTCGCCTATCCTCGCAAGCCCTCCCCATGCCAGGGCAAGGGTACCAGCTACTTCCTTCCATCCCCAACAAAGTGCAGTTGAGCACATGGCAAGAAGTACTTGCCAGGGCATGGCCTGGTGATGGACGTGAGGTTCCATTCTCTGCCACTGGAAAGCTACGTCCCAAGCCGGCTGAAGGAGGCGCCGGATCTTTGGTATTCTCGAAGCTAAAGCATTCACAATTTCAGCATAGTGGTTGTAGGGGCGCCCCGTCTCGTACAGGGCGCGGCCGTACTTTGCCAAAACAGCGTTTATGCTATCGATATCAACCTCAGCGCCTGCCTCAAAAAGACCAGCTGGGACGCCAATCTCGCCAGTCCACTCAAGAAAAACAGCCCACAGTCGATCTCGGTGTTTCTGGGTGATCTTCTCGACAGGTCTCCCTGAGGGCAAAGGTCGCTCTCGGCGGAACTCAAGCCTCGCGTGATCTCCAGGGTTTCGTGGGGCCAGCGCGCCATGGCATCGAGGAAGGCAGCTAACAGAAACCCATCCCAGCCAAACCAACCCAGAGAGCCGAAGACAGAGAGGACCTTCGCCAGGGAAACCCAACGAAGAGTCAAAGTCAAAGGCCGGAGGAACGTAGGTCAGGGAGGGGAGACACCCAAAGGGATCAGACCTGGCCTGGGAAGCCCAAAGCAGGGACTTAAGGACGAGACGGACCCAGTTCGAAGCCCATCGGCGAAGCCTCGGGAGGGAGGCGAGGGGCGAAGGAGAGGACTGGGAGCAGAGGCTAGGGCCAGGAGTCGCCTCAAGCACAGGAGCGCCACGAGAAGGAGCATCGGCAGGCATAAGGCGAGTGGGGCAGAAAGGCAGGGCCCCATAAAGACCACACGCCAGCGAGACACTGGCCGTCCGACGTAGGACCGAAGTCAAAGCAGCAGAAGGGGAGCGACCCTTCCCGAGAGAACAACGAGCAACATTGCTGTCGATGAGCGAGACGAACCGAGAGGGTTGAGCTTGCCTTGCCTTAAAGAGGCAGAGTCGCAGGAAGGCTTCTGACTCAAGGACGTTGATGTGGGCTTGCTTCTTCCAGCGCCACACCTTCAGGGATTTCCAAGGCAGAGCTTGAGCAAGGTCGTTGACAAGGACACTCTCGAGCCCAAACACATCGATCTCGCTGCTCTGGGTCCTGATCACCTTGCGACGGAGACTCGAGGAAACGGCCTCAGCAAGTACAGTGGCGAAACCGGGCACCTCGAGAGAGGAAGCAAAACAACCAGAAGATCCAGGAGGGGTGTGCGGATGGCCCCCCGAGCAGGCTCTCTCAAGTCCAACAGGCGAGAAGTGACAAGAAAGAAGGCGCACTCGCTGAGCAGAGGAAGCCCCGAACATGCAAACAGAGGTCCGAGTCTCAAGCACACCAGGCTTTTCCCGAAAAGCCTTCCACGACGGAAGGGCAGCCATCAAACTCCCGACCGGCTGCTCGATCAAGCAAATCGCCTTGCTAAGGCGGGCAACTTGGAAAAGAGTCAAGGCCCGAAGTGCCTGAAGGGTGCCACGGCGCACCCGCGGGTCCAAAGGGTCACCAAAAGGTTCACGATATGTGCGGAAAGGCGGCACAGTGGCAGCCGAGAAGGTTTTTGCAGAGGGCCGAAGGTAAAGAGCATCGACGGACTCTGTCTCCAGCATGTGAAGGAGCCACGAAAAGAAAACCGGGTCCAAGAGCCCGTAGTGCGGAGAAAAGGCCGAGTCGAGGATAGGGCCCACGACCCAACCAAAGCTGGCCAAGGCATCACAAAGATTCCTGGCAGGACAACCGACCTGAAGAAAATGAAAACGAAGACCGATAGGCCGCGAGGGGGCAACAGCGAAGCCCGTCGTAGTCAGAAGTTCGCGGTGGTCATCACCCTCGACCCCTGCCCGTTCTTCAAAGAGAGGGTCGATTTTTCGAAGGGCAGCCTGAGCCCGAGTAAGCAGCTTAGTGGCGGCCCCCTTTCGGTCCGATGACCGCCAGAGGAGAGCAGTCAGGCTGGGCGAGACCCTAGCCTCGACGACAGCTGCCCCCTCCTCGCTGCTATCAGTAGCATAAATCTTGTCATCAAAGGGAGCAGCAATGTCGGAAACGGCAAGAGGGGCCAGAGCAGCAGCCAAAGCCAGCTCATCCGCCACCCCCCTAGGCAGGTGAACGGTCTGGGGCCTGGAAGGATCAAGAAGATCGGCACGGACCAGACCGAAAGACTTTGCAAAAACCGACATGAGGGGGCGACGGTAGAGGAAAGTCGAGACCCAACCCCCCATCAAGCAAGAGTGGAGGACGTCAGTAGTGGAAGGAAGGGCCGCAACAGATAGTGAAATTGAAGCCAAAGACAAGCGCTTGGAGCGCAAGGCCCCGGCACCAACAATCCCATCCTGCCTGGTCCTGGAACTGGCATCGAGCTCGGTCCCTGCAACCCGGGCCGTGTCAGCCCCCCGCACGTCCTTCTCACTCGAGCCTAATAAGCCATGTTCAGCATAGGTGAGCAGGGCCCTGTCCAGGCAGCGGACAGCCGCCGAAACCTCGGGTGGAAGCTCAGGCTTCTCGATAGAGATCGCGTAAAAATCATCTATCACCAGACCTTGATAAAGGAGGCTCTCCGGAAATAGGGAGTTGGCACGCACCTCCTGATCGGGCGTTAAAAGTCCCGCGCCCTGAAGCAAGCTCCGATGTGCACACGTAGCGAACTCTACTCCCAAATGATCCCCCTGGAAAATGGCTTTGAACCCCGCGACCACCTTCCTGCGGTCCGGGGGTGGCACCAAAAGTGAGGGGGTCTTCCGACCACCCGCCCGGCGACGAAGGAGCTCATCATGAGCAGCCGTGCCAACGAAAAACGCCTCAGAAAGGGGCGGGTACAGGGCGTTGTGACAAGCTTTGCGGTCCCCCACCCTCAATTGGTGGTAGAAATCTTTTCTATCGGCAACGGCGATCCTCAGGGTGCTCTGCTTCGGATCAACACAGAGACCAAGCAAACATGGGCCACAGGGTAATGAAACGCTGGGGCCGCGAAGGCCGCGCTCTTTGAAGTTTCTAGAGCGCCTGTCGCCTATTTGGCGATCCGAAGAAAGGCTTTTGAAGCAGTTGAACACACGGACGCAGTCGGAGGGGCTCTGCTGGTCGCTGAAATCATCCTTAAGATAAAGAAGCCCCTGGTCGGCCCATTTCAAGGCCAACTTGGCAACCTCGGAAGGCTTTTCACGCGTGAGGTCAGGAACATCCTCCGGTCGGGGTTCCCCCCCAAAAAGGAGAATATCAGGCTCAAGGTAGGCCATCTGCAGATTGGGGTCCGAGGCCAGGAAAGGGAGAGGATCCCAATTTGCACTGCCTGTGATCTTCAGGCGGTCGGCACACAGAGAAGTATAGGGCCTCAGGGGATCACCGGAAGTAGCAGGCGCCTTGAGGCTCGAGCCCCCCCAGAGGAAGGAGAGGCGAGGCAAACAGGGCCCGAGGCTGACTCAGTGGAGCCATGCGTGGCGCCAGCAGCGCGAGGAGCAGTACCATGAAAGGAAGGCCCATAGGGATCGGCCGAGGGCCCCACCATAGTCAGACACTCCGAAAGCTCACTCAAACTGGCAACAAGGGATTGGTTTCGGTGCCCAGCCGAGCCCACATGAAAAGGCTCGACGGCACCGCACGCTCGGCAAAGCCTATGCGCATACGAAATGGCATGGGCCTGTGCTTTGTTAGGCCGGTGGCACAGCAAAGGTATCTCCACAGGTGAGGCCCCGGCGAAAAGGAAGTTGCAAGCCATAACGGCGACGTGGGCAACCCTCCTGACGGCAATACGGGTCCTGACTCGAGAGGCCTTGGCTGAGGGGATGTGCTGGAAACACCCAGGGAACGGAACCGGCAAAGGGAAGAGAGCGTGTGCAGGACGCGGTGGCTTGTCCTGGGAGAGATGCAAAGTAGCGTTCATAAAAGCCCCAAAAGACCCCCTAGTGCGTACGACCCGGGAGGCTAAACTAAGACCAAAAGCCCTAAAGCAAAGCGGCCTGGGCTCGTCACTGGGGCGCCGAGGCGGTGTCGCCCGAGGCTTTTCAAAGGACCTGGGCGAAGCATGCAAGGCCGCAGCTGGAGCCGGTGGGCACAAGGCCGAAGAAGGCCCACCGAGTTCACCAGAACACGAATTTGAAGACGAGTGCGGCCCACAGCCGGCTTCGCGACCACGGGCACTCCTTGAAACACGCGGACCAACAAAAGGGTCGAGGGCGCCTGCACAAGACAAAGGGTGCGGCGAGCGGGAAAGTCCAGAGGCAGGGGCCAAGCAAGGCTCCGAAACGGGGGGCTGAGGAAGGCCTTTGCAATCCAAAACTCGAATCTTTTGGGAGCCGACACCTTGAGCACCAGGAGGGGCGAGACCCGGAGGGGCTCGAAAAGCAGAAGGCCTCACTGAAGGCAGAGGAAGATCCGACGTCACGCCGCCGGTGCCTTCGGGTTTTTTGGAAACCTCGGGCGGCGAGGCTTTGCAGCAACCTCGGCCTCGGGGGCCCCCGAAGAAGAAGGTTTCGCCTTGGAGCCTCCGACTGCCTCGGTGCGCCTGCTCTGGATCGCGTCTATCTCTTTCACATAAGAGAGGGTAGTCGTCGCCCAAGTCTGCGGGGTAAGTCCCCCGAACGCTCGCAGCCGTGGATTCTGGGATTGGGGGCGATGCTGGAAAAGCTGGTGAGGAGGATCCTCTAACAGTGTCAGTAAAAACCCAATCTCCCAGGACCCGCCATCTTGAGCACATTGCTCCACAGCTGCCAGAGCTAAGGCGGTGAGCTCCTCGGCTCCTGCCTGGTCGCCTGCAATCATGGAGTCGGCGATGTTGGCGAGCAACCAGAAAACTATCCCCAAACTTCTTTGGCTGCCAAACCCTCCGAAGCGTTCTGCATAAGAAGTGAACACGGGGCGCCTCTGCGCCAGTTCTGCTCGCCTCACAGGCAGCTGCTCTGAAGGTGACAACCTCCGAAGAGCCTGCTGGCTCACCTGAAGGAGAAAGTTCCCACTGCGATTTGCGAGCTGCTCCTGCAGCTTCTCTCTCTTGGCTGAACCCCGGGAACCCAACCCTATACCCCCTAGGGAAGCTAAGGCAGGGTCTGAGGCATCGGCTTGGGAAACCAGGTGGGAGACTAAGGTACCTAGGGCTCTGCTCTGCTGCAACATAGCTTTCTCCAGCCCTGAGCTCGAAGCGCCTGCTGGCACCAAGGGCTCCCCAGCCAGGGGGGCCTACTAGGGAGCCTGGGGTCCTTAGGGGGGTTTCGGGTACCGGTGCTGCAGTCGGCTGAGGGAAGGCAAGGCGATGGGCCGGCAGAGGTGGGGCTGCAACTGGAGCGGCCCTCTTCTCCAAGGCCGCTTGGCGCGTAGCTAGCTCCTGAACTTGTTGGGTCAAAGAAGGTATGAGCTCCACAAGGGCCCCTAGCTGCTCCGAAAGTTGAGCGTTCGTGGGCCGCTTCGCCCGAGGAGCCGTCTTGCGTTTGGGTGCGGCAGCCTCCAAAGGGCCTCCGGGGGCCGGTGCAGCGTCTGCCCCTTCTGCAGCCGAGTAAAAAGCCAGCCTTTCCCCCTCCTCGCTGGCAACCCATGCTAATGCAGACTGACGGGCCTCCTCGAAAGACACCTGCAGGTGAGGAGACTCGGGGACAACATGGGCGGCCTCGGCGGGGGAAGTGACCGGGTCGTACCGGGACAAAAGAGGATAAACTTCCTCTGAAAAATCTACCAGGAGCACAGTGCAAATCTCCTCGGTGGGCACCAAAGCTCCCTCCTCCTCCTCTTCTAAAGTCCCAACCGAAACTTCCCGCGAAGGTCCAACAATAGCGTTCGCCGCCCCGGCCTGACCTGCACTGATCAAGCTTGCGTCTAGGAACCCTGCAGGGATAGCTGCTAGCACTCCGCCCTCCCTCAAAATGAGGGGCACAAAGACGCAAGACCGGGGAGGAACCCCAGGCCAGTCCAGCAGCAAACCTCCGCTCTCGAAAGGGGCCCCGATAAACTCGGTCACTAACTCCATGCTTCCTTGTCCGGGAACTCAAGGCCAGCCGCCCTGACGTAAACTCTGGCCTCCCCTTCGGTGGGAAAACCGTGACAGACAGTGGAAGAGCGCTCGAGAGGCCCGGTGTGCAGCTTAAAGCGGCCGAAAGTGGTGAAAACCCTAACAGCCCGGTCGTCCCTGCAGCGCAGCACCACGTATATACGATTACGCACAGGAATGCTAGGAGTGGCGTCCGGGCAAACCTGAAGGCCCTGCAAAACGGCCCCGGCCTGAAGGCCTGCGTCCCAGGCTCGCTGTGCTCGAGGTCTCCTGTCAGCGCGGTGCAAAGAAGACACAAGGAACAAAGCGTCCCCTGGCAGAGGGGCTCCAGCACACGGACAGGTAGCAGGCCCAGTCTCCGAAACTGGTGGGCTATCAGCAACAGGCAAAGGCACACTCGAAGCAGCGGGCCTATCGGAAGACCCTGAGGCCGAATGGTGCCTGACCTCGTCGGCTTCCACCAGCTCCCAGGTATCCTGGCTGTCCTCTAATTCCTGAAGGGCACTGCGCAAAGAGTCCACAGCCGACCTGATGGTCTGCAAAAGACCGGCCCTACTCATGCAAATACCCACGTAACCTTAAGGATCGGGGCCTAGGGATGGGCGAGGCACTATCAGGAGAGGGGCTAGAAGCAAATACAGGCTGGACCGCAGGCAAGAAAAGGTAGGCTCTGAAAAACCAAAGAGCCAGGAGGAAGCCAAGGCAGGACCCGGCCACAAAGGACAGACCAAGGACCAGAAGGGAACCCGAACAATGAGCCGGACAGCCAAGCCCAAACCAGTTGGTCGAAGAACCCTGAAGCAAAAGCCCCAGAAGCTGGGTCACACTCATCTTTGAGCCCAGCCACGTTTACACTTTCAGCTTTACAAACACATTTTGTGTTGTATATTATATAATAAGTATAAATATATATATATATATGTATGTATGGTATTATATACTATATAATATATCTTATCTCTATATATATATACCATATATATACATATATATATATATCATATATGCATATAACCTTATATATATATAATAAAGTACATATGTCTTATATATATATATGATATAACAACTATGTAAACCATAGATAATATATAATATGTACGTAGAATTCTATATATATATATATATATTTATTTATTTATTTATGTGTGTATATATATATATTGGATATTATATTATATAATATATTATATATATACTATACCATATGTAGTATATAGAATATGTTATATGTAATATATTAAATGTTATATATATATATATAATATATACATGATATATAT